ACATAACCATTAGAAATATATGTGTATTTAACAAGTAAGCTTGAAATGTGTAAAACAGAGGACTGAGGATATGGCTGAGCAGCACAGCACCTGCCTGACAAGCACGAGGTCATGAGTCCGATTCCTGGTACACACACACACACACAAAATGCAAAGCAGAACTGACATTTATGTTAGCAACAACCCAGGTGAAGAAAGAGATGGCAGGGTTAGGAAGTACAAGCAGAGGAGTACACCTTAGGAAACATCAGTGTGTAAGAGATAAACCACAATCAAGCAGGCTGAGAAGGAACAGAGATAAAAGGAAAATCAGAAGGGTGATCTCAGAAAGCCAGAATGGGATAGGAAGAGTACAGGATTTACTCAACAACAAATGCTAGGGGAAAAAAAGATGAAGAATGATAAGGAGAGTAGATTATCCATCACATATGATAATTTGAGTGTTAGTGCTAACCTTAGAAAAGCAGTTTCAGTGGAATGGTGAGCTGGAGTAGGATTGGTTGGAAAGTAAAGTGAGCCAGGTTCTGATGGATCAAATTGGAGACTCACTTTAAGGAAGTGTGGACAGGGAATGCGTAGGCTCTTCCAAGGAGCTCGGCTTTGAAAGGAGAGCAAGATGGTAAGCTAGCGGACAGAAGTGAAAGGGTTGGAGATTTTCCATAAGTCACAGATATAGATATAGATATAGATATAGATATAGATAGACAAGTGCATAAAAGATAGATGACTATACTGTTAACCTCTTAATTTATCAAAAGAAACAGTCTGTTTTCATTGGTTGATCATTTTTTCATGCCTAAATCTTGTAATCTGAATGACTACTTTTAAGATAACAATATGCAATGTATTAACTAGTGCTAACTTCCTATTATTTTTTGAAATTCTGTATTATTTTTATCATTTTGTTTTTTAAAATAAAATTTTAAAAGTGGGGAAAAGTCTGTTTTTTTCAAGCTGGAGCTGAATGATATGTCAGAAGAATAAAGAAAAGCATGTTTATGTGCTAAGGAAATGGGGGGAGGGAAGGGAAGGGATATAGTTGAGAGTCTTTGCCGTAAGCCCAGCAATATTTTCTGATACTAGTTTCTTCACCATCAATTAGCAAATATCCCTAGGACATAATTTTTAGGGAGATTCAGTTAATTGCATCGAGAATGCTTCTTATGTATTTTGTGCTCCCTACCACAGTATATAAGATGTAGCAGACATCTCTACAAGTTTTTAGTTCATTAAATTATTCTTCTGATCAATAATCAACACCTCGCCATTGCTTACATGAAATAAAAATCAAAGGCTAATCAAGGCCTTTAAGATCTAGCTAAAATCAGGATCTCCAGTCAAGCTGCTGTGCTGGCTTCTACAGCAACACGCATTGCTCACCCTGAGGCTTTGACCTGTTCCTGCTCGTTCCTGTCTCCCTCTTTGTGGGAAAGGAAACTGACAGTGAAATTCCAACTTATCATGGCCCATGAGGTCCACTGGACTTGCTGCTGCCTACCACCAACTGCGTGAGCGACTGTTCTCCCCCACTGTCTCTCCTCTTCCTTGAAAAAGGAAAGATTCTACTGCCTCCAGACATTCCTCTTTGCTTTGCTACCTGGAATGCTTTCTTCATACCGTGTGGGCCTGTTTCTTCTGTCACAGGTCTCAGCCTGAATGTCATTTCATCTCACCTGGTGGAAGTAGAGCCCACGTCCTGTTAGGAGCAAAACACAATACACTTATTTCCTTTGCCTAATCCAAAACAATCTGTACTCATTGGATTCACTTTTGTTCATTGTTCTCCCCCTTTTCTTCTGAAGCCCCATCTGTTTTATCTCCTTACCCCCTGCCCAATACAGCGCTTAACAAGGGCTTTAAAAATATGTTTTATGAATGAATGAATCTGTTTTTTTCAAAATTCAACTTATATCCTACCTACAAACAAATAACAGCTTCCTATGCATTAAATGCTTATTTTATTCCAGTAATTACTTATATTATCTCATTTAAGAAAGCCCTTCTGTTTACCTACAAAAGCTCACACAGTAGTTACAAACTAAGCCATACATTGCACGAAGTTGAAAGTTGCCTCTTGCTTGTTATTTAATATATCACGTGCAACCCTCTTTTGGTTCCAAGGAAATAAGAGCTGCACTACAGCCCAAGCACACAGAGAAAACTCAAGGGAGGCTGAGGAACCAAACATTCCCCTAATGTGATAGCATAAAGGCAATGTTGATACACTGTCTGTGTTACACAGAACGGTTAGTTGTAACCATGAAAACATTTTATTCAGTAATTATTGATGGTAGACAATTATTCAGTAATTATTGAGGAAAGACTCTAGGTGTTATGCCTTATATTTAGATTCCCCCCCTCAAAGTATTAGGTGCTCAGTCAGGACTTCTGAAAGGTAATTAGATCATGGGGGCTTCTAGCTGACTCACTCCTAGGGGGTGGGTTTGGTCAGAAGAGTCAGGTCACTGTGAGCTTGACCCAGAAGGGTTATCTCTCCCCTAGCTCCTCCCTTGGTTACCTCTGCTTCCTGTCCACCATGCTGTGAGCAGTTGCTTTCCGCCGTGCCCCTAGGCCATGGTGTCCTGCCTTGGAGCCAGCCAAGTACGGACTAAAAGGTGAGCCAACATAAACTTCTCCTCTCTATAAGTTTTGGGTGTTGAATATTTTGTTATTTTGTACTTAGGGAAGTAACTAAGACATTAGATAAATGGGAGCTTTTTTATAGGAAAATTATGGAATGGGGGAGAGACATGGCAGGGGGCCTTGACTGGAGTCAGGGTAGTAAAAAAGTTACAAAAGTGGCAGAGTAGCTGGCCGTCTATGAATCCACCTAGGTTTGCTAACTGGCGCTTGTGGAAGTCTGAGCCCTCCCACAGATGCCAGGGTACAGGCCCGTGTCTTCAAGTGGACAGGGACAAATAGCCAATTATTTTCGCCCCCTAGAGTTTCCTCAGGAAGCATTTTAATGAGGACTAGAATGAGGAGCTGTTAGAAACTATATTAACAATTGTTCAAATTCTTATGGGTCAAAAATAAAATTTTTTTATGGGCCAAGGTTGAGAAAAAAAAAAGAGGCTCTCAGAGAAGCATGGTTAGCGTTGGGTCAAGAAGAGAGTCTTTGTCAATTATAAACTTTGAACGGAACATCTAACCTGACTTGCAAGTGAACAAACTCCATTCTACCTGTACAGATGTTAAAAATTATTTGTGGCCAACTGGGCATGGTGGCTCATGCCTGTCACCCCAGCACTTGGGAGGCTGAAGCAGGAGGATCACTGCAAGTTGGAGATCAGCCAGGGCTACAAAGTGAGCTCAAAGCCAGCCTGAGCTGAATAACAAGACCCTGTGTCAAAAAGACAATAAATAAAAAGACAAAAAATTAGTTATGGAAAGATAGTTTGAGCTTTGAGGTATGAAATATATGCAGATCAATTCCCTTTTTTGCAGAACACTTTGCTAAAACCTTAGCTTTCTAGAAAGTACTGTCTATTCTGTCAAAAAAAAAAAAGTGTCTATCAATCCAAGTTACTTCACATCCAGAAGTCATAAGAAAGGGTCCCTAGCACTGTGTGTGTTAACTGTGGGTCTTGGGATATCTGCTTTGTGGAGCTGTGGAATCCCCGCTGGAGCTGCGGCATTGGTGACTTCCATGCACTCGTGTACAGTTGGGGAATCTAAAGTCTGAAGTGCCGGAGACTGAAAAGGTGAGAGGACCTCTCAGACTCCTTTGGGGGCTTCTGAAACCTGAGAATTCTGTTCTGCATCTAACCTTACATGCTAGCTACCATCTTCTCCTTCAAGTGTGGTACTCATATCCAAAAAAGCACCCCTGGATTTCAAGGAGTCCTCTGTTCATTGTAAAATATTAAAGGCAGTCTTCTCTCCTGACAGCCTCTGGGTGTGGCCCACTCCAAGACTGGTAATAAACTGGGAGTCCCCAAGGGCTCTTATTTCCAGCATTCTACCCCAAGTCTTTAAGAGTCACTGCTGAAGTCATCTCAGCCTCTGAATACACGGACCAGCGATTTTCTTCTTGGGTTCCACCCTTTAGCAGATGTGTGCAGTAAGGAAAATGCCACCCAACCTGTCTCTCCCCACTTGCCAGGTGAGCTGGGAGCACCTGTCCTACTGGGTGTGTTCCCTGGGGGATAGCCTCCCTTCTATTAGAGAGGGTGTCTTCTCTTAATTAGATCTTAAACTCAGCCTGACTCTTTACTGAACCAGAATCTGGGTGGGGCTGCATTTTACTAAGGACTCGGGTTTTTTGCTTCTTCAGTGGCCAGGAAGGTAATTGAATGCCATGGTTCTAATGACACACATTTTCCATTTCAGCTGCTTGAAGTTCGCTCTTTGATAAATAGTTTAGCAAGTATCTCTTTGGCAGGTGACTGCCTCCCAGACTGGGCTGCTGAGTAACCTGTACTCCTCCTACCATGCCTGTGTTCCTATAAATTAGGGAGAACTCTTGCCATCTCTAGTTATGTCACAATGGCAGTGGAATGAGACTAACACAATATTGTAGACTGTGAACCGAGTAGACAAAGCGTATTGTCATGTTCGTGCAGAGCTGGTCTTAGGCAAAGACAAGGCCTCATGTCCACTCAAGGGCTCAAATTTAGACACTGTCATCTCCAAATGAGCGTATATCCGTGGATCCTTTATCAGCAATGAATAAACGTAAAAAAGCCACAAAGCAAGCCTGCTTTTGGCTCTGCCTTATTTTGTTGTTCGTAGAATATTCGAATCCTGTTCCACATCTTGAGGACCCTGCCACTACCGAGGGTAGAAAGGGACCACATGGAAAGCTTGGTTCGGGCTGCAAGAACCCGGAAAGCATCTCCAGCCTCTGTGAGCACCTCTCCGCGCCCGGAGAGGGGGCCTGTGGGCGGGGCTTGCTTGCCGCTCTGGCCGGCTGTCACGAAGCCCCGCCCCCGCAGGAGAGCATGTGGTGCAGCCGCAGCCCGGCGCAGGATGGGGTGGGGCCTCTGCCGGATGGGGCGGGGCCAGGCGAGGTGCAGACGGCTGGAAACGGAAAAGCGGCGCGCTGACAGGGGTCTGTCGCGGGCGGAGAGGCACCGGCCTGTGAGCTGGCCGGGAAGTGGCCGCCTGGGTGCTGTGGGCACCGGTGCAGGCGCGGGGGGGAGGGCCGCCCACCGGTCCAGTGTGTTTGTTTTTCCTTTGTGCCGCTCCCCCGGAAGGTGCAGAGCGGAGATGGATGGGCTTTTCTGTGCCTCAGTTGCTGTGTGGCCGCGAGGGCGCCGGGGACTCCGGACCCACTCACTGAAGCAGCTTCGGGGTGCTCCTGGGTGGAAGGCTGTCCCCAAAGCGAAAAGTCGTTTAGCTGTTTGGAGGCTGGTGCTTTTGGGGAAAGAGTAACTGGGCTGCAGACCCTGAGCTTACACCCTCCAGCGTCCTGGGTGCCACTCCCTGGCCGCGCCAGTTACATCCTCACTAAAACCCTCCGTCCTGGTTTTTCTGTCTCATGTAGATCCTTGACTAAGTGAAGCAGAGCCTCTAGGATTAGCTAAAGTAGATGCCAGTTTGCAGCCTCTTGATGCAGTCCGAGTCCAGCCGGTATGAGGAGACTCCTTCCCTCTTGTGGGGTTTGGATCCTGTGTTTGTAGCTTTTGCAAAACTCTACATCAGGGATATCCTGACCATGAAGGAATCCCGCCAAGTTCCAGGTAGGTGGCTGGGCGCCTGGTAGTCCCCCTGTGCTGCGTCTGCACCCCTTCCTGCCTGGCAGCTGTCTGAAGGCCCTCCCTGCATGGGCTTTGAAAACGACCTAGCTCAGAGCCTCCTGCGAGTTAAAAACAATGTTTTTTTTAAAAAAATAGATGCTTAAGGAAGTAACCGTGCAGAAGAAGGCTATACTAGTGTTTAAGGTCTTCCAGTTGCAGAAATACTGAGTTGTTTTTCTTAGGGGCTCTTGGTGGAAAGATCTGTGGGCCCAGCGTTCCTAGACTCAGATTGTGCCTTTTTCCCTCGTTAGGGTCACGTGGCTTACCTGTCCTTTTTTGTAAAAACAGAAATTATCCATGCCTGATTTTGTGAGGTTTTTTTTTTTTGTTATTGAATTAGAATCCGTATAAGCTCCCTGTCTGTCTTGTTCACCTGTGTAATCACAGCACCTTGGTTTGTAGTGGTTGGGCCCTCAAGAAACATCTGTGGGAGTAAGCTTGGTGGTACATAGCTATTACCCCAATATGTACTGGGTAGGCTGAGGCAGTAAGATCGCCAGTTTCAGGCCAGACTAGGCTACATAATGAGACCTTACCTCAAAAAGCCAAAAGGAAAACAGCAATCAAAGAAACAAAGCTTGTACATTTAAAGTTAAATTTTTTTTTTTTTTTTTGTCTTTTTCCTTGTACCGGGGATCGAACTCACGACTGCCTGCTTTCAAGGCAGACACTTATGCCGCTGAGCTAAACCCCCAGCCCCTAAAGTTAAATATTTCTTATTAAAGTAGTAGTTACTAAAGGCACATAAAAGATATGCCTGAATGGACAACAAATACCATTTAGGACAGATTTGACTAATTCAAGAAGCCATGGGTAAGTCTTCATGTGTTCACTGTGCTGTATGAGTTGTTTGTTTAAACTCTACTCTGAGTGTGGCTTTCTGGGCGTGGGCCTTCTGAATAGCAGGCTGTGTGTGAGTCAGAAGTAGGCATCGCAAGCATCCACAGTTTTACTGAGATGAGGTTTCCTGTGATTTTAGTTGTTTACAAATATATTTGGATGACCTTACACTGGAGTCTTTTGTGCAGATTTTTCATCACACCTCCATTTCCTCATTGCTGTTGGACATTGTCTGTTTTGTTCCTTGGAAGGCAGCCAGCCTCCCCCATAGTTTTCCATTTTCCACAACAATCTGGTATTCTTCATAGCTCATCTCCTCAGGAAGAAATTAATTCACACCAAATACCAGCTTCACTTGAAGATCTGTGGGTGAGCAACAAGCATTAGGGACAGGCATGGGGACTTAACTCTTCCTGTGGGCTAAGGATCTTAGGATGTGCTGAACCAAACCAATGAGAACCTGTACTGATGATCTTTGCTTTTATTTTTTAAGGAAATCTCATGATTGAAGTAGACATCATGATTTTAGAGATTTTCTTTATACTATACTGTAGGGTTCAGAAGGTAGGGAACATCACTTGCCTAGGTTTTATTTTGTTGGTTTGGTTTGGTTTACCATAAGGAGGAAACTTAGTGAAGGTCTGTAATCCTAGCTATTTAAGAGACTGGGACAGGAGGACTGCAAATTCGAGGCCAGTCTGGGACATTTAGTAAGATCCTGCCTCAAATTTTTAAAAAGGGCCAGAGATAAACCTCAGTGGTAGAGCCTGCCCCCTCACTGGTTCAGTCCCTATACACATCCACACAAAGAAAACTTGTGACAACATAAAAACTTAGAAATGTTTAAACAACAACAAGAAGTCTTAAGGCAAGGAAGATTATCCAAAATAAAAATCCAGTATTTGCTAAGATAAAGAATTCACCTGGCTTTGTCCTGGGTCCTAGAGGTAACCTCTAAATCCTTGCAGTTTCCTAAGAAAGAGGAGTTACCTGTGACAGCTTACCACTAAAACCATACTTGAGGGTATGCTAATCAGGTATCCTACACTGACCCCAAAGTTTCAGGATTGGAACTGACCACACCAAAAGACCAGCCTTCCCCTGTGGCCCATGCTATGTCTGAACCCTTGGGGTTTCGGGGAGTTTAGTCACATGGCTATAAGTCAATTATGCCTGCTTTCTGAAACCCAGTAAAAACCCTGGGCAGTGAAGCTGGGTGAGTGTTCCTGGTTGGTTACCATACACTGGTTTGTCAGAGGATGATGTGGCCGAGCTCATGAGATGTCATATTGGGATGCCCCAGGCCTGGCCCTATGCCATCTCTTCATTTAGCTGGTACTGATTTCTGCTCGCTGTCACATGACCACAAGTGTAGCAGCTGTCTTAGTTTGTGTTCCAATAGATTCATACACCTGAGGGAGTGAGTCATGGAAACCTCCACATTGACAGTCAGCTGTTCAAAAGTGAAGGTTGCCTAAGGGTCCCCACAAAAAGTAGGGTTACTAAATGAAGTGAGGGCAGTACTGTGGGGGGGTCGTGCCCTAAACCTGTGAAATTTAACCCAAGTGGAAATTTAGCATTCGAATTGCATTGCAAGAGAACTGCAAAAATGTGTCCCTAGCCCTGTGAATTGGGTTTAAACTAATAAAACTTCTGTCAAGTTTAACTGTAATGGTGATAGGTTTTAGACTTTTTCTTTTTGTACTAAAAAAGCTTTTAATAATAGCTCATAAGACACAGAGATAGTCTTTGTTTTAAACGTCTTTACATGTCAAACTTAGATCAGTTAGAAAATAACTGTACATTACGAAAAACAAGCTACCTTCTTTTTGCCTTGCTCTCATATTAGACAGCACAGAAAACTATGACCCAAAAAGCTATAGGGTATTCTCCCCGCTCCAGCAAACAAGCAGTCAGTTCTTCAGCAGACACCAGCTGGGCGTCCTCCAATTTCAGTTTTGACACTGTCTGTCTGGAGATGGTGTTAAATCCCACAGGTTGAGGTCTCCATTCCCAAGATGCCCCAGCGCTTCTGATGCCATTTGAAACCCCAGTTGGTTTTACTGTGCTTCTGACCATCTGGTGGTAAATCAGGGTTCCCACAAACAGGCAGCTGATGCCACAGGGAAACAGTTTCTAGTTTATCGTGAAGGGTATCATAGAGGCTACTGATGGAGAGATGACTAGGAAGGGGAAGGACAAGTGGCACTGAGCTGCCATTCCCCCCAAGGTGTGTCACCCTCCTGGAAGCTATCTGGAACTTCTCAGAACTTCTCACCTTTTGGGATTTTTATGGAGGTTTCATTGCATAGTCATCATCGAAGCGTGGACAGTAGTTTTGAAATACAATTGGGCACAATGCCCATGATCCACTTCTAAGAAACTAGGTGGGGAAACCCTAGTTTGACCTGTCTGTCCAGGTTTTTCGTGGCCTCTCTGTATAATGTTCCTTCTCCCAGGGAGTGAGGCAGAACCCTTCTGGAATGAGGAGGGTCTTAAGATCTACTAGTCCAGGATAGCACTGACAGTTTCTTTATGGTCAGCTAAAGGTTAGCAGAATTAGTTTCTATGAGCCAAGTGGGGTAGCACATGCCTATGGTCCGAGCACTCAGGAGGCTGAGGCAGGAGGATTGCAAAGAGTCCAAGGCCAGCCTGAACTACATAGCAAGACCCTATCTCAAAAAAAAAGAAAAGAAAAACAAAACAAAAAAAAAGAATTAGTTTCTATGACCTGTGTTGAGAGTTATAAGCCAAGAACCATAGATGAAAACCAAGAAATAAACATTATAACAGCATAATTTTTTTATAGATCAGTGTATAGAACTTAACACTGTATATTCCTAGCAAATGCAGTGAGGTAGATATACTATACAGTCACCCTTCTGTATCCCTCATCCATAGGTATAACCAATCTAGGATTGATAATATATGGGGGGAAAATTTGTAATTATCTGAATATATACAGCCTTTTTCTTATTAGTCCATAAACAATGTAGTATAATAACTACTTACATAGCATTTGTATCATATGAGTATGGTAAGTAATGACTTACCATGAGAGGACACAGGTAGGTTGTGTGCAAATACTAATGGCCATTTTATATAACGACTTGAGCATCCTCGGGCTCCTGCATAGGGTCCTGGAACCAGTCTCCCATCAACAGACACAACCCTATATTCATAAGAATTGTGTTAATGTTGATCTATGTTTGAAAATACTATCTTAGGCATTTTGTTGCTATCAGATTTCAATGAGACCAATTATAGCTTCAATAAAATAATAAGCAATTAAACTGAAAGGTGATCCGACAAAGGTACTCTACTTTTCAAGAAGTAACAAAGTGTCTGCCTGCCAAGCTCAAGGTTGTACCGGTACCCAAAAAAAAGTGCCAGGCAAATGTCTTGCTGTAGTTGTAGATGTTCAAGGCCAGCTGCTTGAAGTCTGCTTTAAAGCTACCTGTGCCTCTGGGTCCCTGAGCCCTCACAGCTGTCTGAGCTCTTCCTGGGGGCCTGAGGATCTGGGGGTTCCTGTACATACAGGCTCCTGTGGGTTATACAGGAACAGTAGAAGCAAAAGTGCCCCTTGGAAAAGGCTGCCACATAGACTTGCTAGCATTTGTCTGTGGGGATAATCTTCAATGTATTTTTATTGGTAGCTAAAAATTTTATAAAATACCGAGTTTTAGTGTGAGATTTTCATAAATGTAACATGTGGTCATCATTTTCAGAGCCTGTGGAGTTTTCTCTGGATCCACAGTGCTTCTGTCCAACTCCCTTGAGCCTTAGGAAAGACTGTGCTCTGATAGAGGGAAGTGGTTCTCCAATTTTTTTTCCATATCCTCAGCTGTCTTTGTAGACGCTGAGTATCTCATTTGCTTGGTGTATGTTTGCAGGTACTGTGTGACATCTCTGCCAAATTTGTAATCAATGTTTCTTCCTCCATCAGTTTCCTGGGAGGTTTTACGCTGGTACCCTGTGTTATTTCTGCTGCAGCTGTCCTCTCTGGTTTAGTGATGCTTTGAAGATGTCACATCCCGGGATTGGAAGAATTTCACTGTTTCCTCAAGTAACAGTATCTGTCCTTGAGGGCAAGTTGTGAGGTGGAAGTTTGTGGGACTGCAGTGAATTCTTTTTTATGGAAGTCTACTATGTCTTCAACTGAACACCTGTTCATAGTTTTTATTACTTATTTAACTATTTTTGAGACAGGGTCTCATTGTATGGGCCAAGCTAGTCTTAAACTCACTCTGTAGCCCAGCCTGGCCTCAAACTTGTGGCAATCATCCTGACTGAGCCTCCTGAGTGCTAGGATTACAAGTGTGTACCACCATGCCCGACTATTGTTTTTATTTTTGCCAGGTACAGCATTTGTAGATGAATTAGAGACGTCACTGGCTGTACCATTAGTCCAGCCTGATCTCATGGCCTTCTTCAAAGATCTCAGTCCAGGCAGATCACCTGTGGTCCATCTGTTCTTCCATCTTAAAGGCCTTCAAAGTCCATAGGTTTTCTGTGGATCCCCATTCAAACCCAGTTCCTGGATGGGGACAACTCTTGTTTCCAGGTGATATACTGACCCCATTCCTGCCCTTTTGCAGCCTTGGTATTTCAACTCATGGGCCCATAATTGGTTGAGGATGTTCTCCCGTGCGGAGGCTTCTTGAGAAGTGTGCTTCCACAGGGTCCTGGGCCTGCTTTAGGCATGTTTTCTTTGCTCTGAGCACATTTCTCTCCTAGTTTCACTGGCGGTCAGAGGCTCTGGAGTTGTTGTCCACACCTGAGAATAGAGGTGAGTGGCCCATCCTCGGTCCCTCTGTCCTCAAGCAGATCAAGAGAATCTTCCCTCTGCAGAGGCCAGTTTGGTATTCATGCCACAGGTCCCCCCACCCATGGCTTGGAGTTCACAGGCTGTGACTAGTGAGGGAGAGGTGGCCCAGTGCCCGTGATCATGGTCTCCTTGTTTATAATCCATGTATTTATGTGGAAGGAAAATGGCCTGTCAAAAGTGTGTAACCTGTTACTAAAGGTGAAGGCTGCAGCCAAGTGTGGGAGAAGAGTGCCTGGAGAGGGTGTTTGGGTACTGTGGTGCAGGTGACAGGGCCACAGCGGAAGCAAGGAGCTTAGGTAAGCAGGGCAGGAGCAGAAGGGAAGCCCAGGAATAGCAGGTCAGAATCAGAGGCTCAGCTCCCAGGGCTCATTCTGATTTATCCGGTCCCCGGGTCAGGAAAATTCTTTGATGTCAGTAGTGGGTCTCCTCTTAGGTTTCTCCTCTGGTAGGAACTCAGCTGCCAGAATCTCCAGTGTAAGTTTTGAAAACCGGGGTTTTTGTTTGGTTGGTTAGTTTTGTTTTTGGGTTTTTTATTGTTGTTGTTTTTGTTTGTGAGACAGGATCTTACTGTGTAGTTCAGGCTGACCTTGAAATCACTACATAGCCCAGGCTGACATCAAATTGATGGAAATCTTTCTGCCTCACCCTCCCTAGTGCTAAGATTACAGGCTTGCGCCACCATGCCCAGTTGAAAATAGTTCTAAAAAGAGAAGTTTTTGACTTGTAGTCAGCTAGCCCCAAGGGGTAGCATTTTGCCATCTACGTGTCATCTCTTTTTTTTCTTACAAAGAAAAAAAGGGGAAGCTCTCATCAATTCATAGAAACAATGACCCAGTTCTTAGAAAAACACTGGTTTAAAAAAAAGTCAAAGAAGGCATTCTCCCAGCTTCCTTTCTCTTTCCTGTCCTGTGCTGGTCCTGGTGTGCAATGACTTTTCAGGCCTGAGTCTTCTCAGGGGAACATGTCACACAGAGAAAGCCAGTTCACCAGATTTCATGGGACAACACTCGTTTTCCCTTTTCTGCACCTGTAAAAACTGAAAACCAGGCTTTCTGCTTCCCACCCTTGAGGAAGAGACCTCTGGGTTTCCTGGAACTGCCATTGGTCAGGGGCTCTTTCTTAAGACTGGGACTTCAGCCAACAGACTTCTTTTGCTTTTTACATCTGCTGCACCCGCTCCCCCAAAGACATTTAATGAAGCAGAAAATGACTCATCTGTAACTTTGCTTTTTTCAAATTGTAGGTATCTTTTTCTACAATGGGCATCCAGTCAAACAGGTAGATATCCTGGGAACTGTCATTGGAGTGAAAGAAAAAGATGCTTTTTATGGTTATGGAGGTAAGAGCAATTGCACCTGAAACTGAGTTGAGGTGGAAAGTCCCCACATAGCTAAAGGCTGGATTCCAGGCAGCCTTGCAGAGGTGCTAGGGACCCTTGAAAAGCACAGTCCTCTGTCGGGAGCCTCTTGGAGCCCCACATGTGGACTGAGTGTAAAGTGAGACAAGAGGTTGAGTGAAATGGATGATACCGTGAAGTGACCACAGCCGGGGAGTCAGGGGGTAGAAGAATGAAAATCCAGCTATCTAGGCTCCCGGATTGATGGGGGCCACCTGATACCTGTGGGCACGGCTATAAATAGCAGGGGATGACAATATACAGTTACAATGATACCTTTACAAAGAAAGGGCCAGGTTAATGTTAGACTTTTTACAGAGACATGAAGGGGTCAAAGATAGTGTATCCAAAGCAGTTTTTTTACCTTTTGGTACTCAAAGGAGTAAATATCCATTGTCAGAAAAGTTTCCTTCCCTTACGATGATGGAAACCATATAAAGGGGTTCTATATTTTGGACACCAGAGAATTGCTAGAATGTGATTTTAGTGCAATGGTTCTTGATGGCTTAGAGCAGAATGTAAGCATTTTAATATATTGCCTTGTGGACTTCAAGGTTCTCTAGTTAGGAAACCAAGTTAGGCATTTGGTGAGAAGCTCAATGTGGAATTCCAAACCTCTGCCATAATGGACACTGTCACTTTTTGTCATGCTGTCTTGGATTTGTGTTTGTGCTGTACTTGGAGGAAGATAAAAGGCACTGGACTTGGTGAGCAAGAATATTTCCTTGGGAGTCTATGCATGATTGATAATTATAGATACAGCGTGACTGCATTTCAACATTTGTTCATTTTCTCGAAGATGACTTGGCTTGTGCTTATAAAATAACATGAGAGATGAGCTCGTCTGTGCCTTCTGCTTTTTCTCAGTGCATAATCTGGAGTGCATTACAGTCACTTTGTTGTCAGGCATCCATGTGCTGAATCTCTTCTCTGCTTTATTTACCAAAAAGGTTGGTCCTATTTTTCTCCATCAAAACTCAGGGATACTCAGCTGAGGGTGAGGGCACCGCCCAGAGTAAAATAAAGCATTTCCTCCCTCGCACAAAGAGAAAGCAGTAGTGTCCTTCATTTTACAAAGCACACTTACCATGGTCATTTACCTTATTCTCCTAATCTTTTGGAATGAAAGGACAGAAATGATTTCCATTTTGTAGATGGTAAAGCTAAGGGTCCGTAGCTTGCTTGGGGTTCCAGTGATGTGCGTTGTGTGGGTCCAGTCTTCTGTGTACTTGGCAATCTATGTATGTCTTCTGTGTACTTGGCAATCTATGAATTTTTCTGTCCTTCTGTCCCCTTCCTCATCCAGGCCCCACCCGCAAATCAGCTGGATCTAGTTTTTAGTTTTCAGTTTTTCAGATCAAATAAATGAGTCTGTTGAAAACCTCAGTGCTGGCTTTAGAACCAGGCCAAAATTAGCCTGTGACCTAACAGAGCATTACTTACGCCCTCTTCCCATTATGGAAAGATTAAGAGTGTGCACTTAGCTCTTCCCAAGAAGCCTTTCCCACTGAGGGAGTCAACAGCCTGCCACTTCCCTGGGCTGCATAAAAACAGCAAACAGCTAAATGTGGAAGTAATCGAGAGTGGAAATGCGCCTGTGACTAATTCCCACCTAGCCTGTTCCAGCAGAGCTGCTTCTCTGCCTGCTGTCCTCAGGCCCAGCTTGGCTCTCAGGCCACCTTCCAGGCAGCCACACCCTGCTGCACATTTCACCACAGCCCTACACTGACGTATCACTGTGTCCCATACTGGCCAAGGAGGCAGCAGACCTCAGGGTTGTGACACAGGATCCACTGGGAGAGGTCACAGTCCAGGGACACTGGGGTTCGGTGGCAGTGTCCGCATTGTGCAGAGCACTTGGCAGCAATGTAAGCTCAGCCTGGAACCTTAGGGGCTCAGATCAAGACCAGGAAGATCTCGTGTTTTTAGGAGAAATCTTCATCTACTCTTTTTTTCTTTGACTTTCTATCATAAATCAAAATTTTCACCTATAAGTCTTATGCCTAGATCTGTCATACTTTCTTTAAACCCAAATGTCCTTACTGAGTATTTGCTTGTTAAAATGATATTTGTCATAAAATAAAATTTCAAACCAGAAAAAAATATTAATGATACACAAACAAGTCATGTGAAATGCTATAAATTGGGCAATAACTAGGTCAGAGCTTGGGTAAATGTTGTTCCTGATATTCCTAGTGTGCTGATATTTAAGAAATATAGAAATGTCTTATTTCCTCAGTGCTATTATACATATGTCTGTTCTTCTTTAAGTGTTTGAAATTAGACTTAAGGGTCAATGCATACATTGCATGTGGGGTTCCTTCCCTGTAATCTAAAAGGTATTATTAACGCTTGCCTTGGTCGCTTTTCTCTGTTGCTGGGGCAAAATACCTGACACCCAAAATGAAGGAAGGAAAGGTTTATTTAGCACTGTTTGTGGAGGTTTCAGTCCATAATCAGTTGGTTACACAGCAGGGTGGCGTGGCACTGGGGCAGCACTTCAAGGTGACAGCCAGAACAAAAGAAGGAGAACAAGCCTCTATTTCTCCCTCATACGCAGACCACCCCCTTCCTCCAGGGCTGGTATATCACTCCCTCCACCTCTGTGCCCTCTTGCACAGGATCAGGATGTTTTCAAAGTAAGGGTCCTGGCTTCCCGCTGAGTCTCTCAATTAAACATCTAAACTTCTCAAGTTGACGCAGTGTATAAACCATAGCTACACCCAATGTTTTAAAATCATTTATGTTATAGTATGCCCTTTGTTTTACATAACTATATTTAAGACTTTTAAGATATATAAGATTTTTGTTTTACAGTAAAATACCTATATCTTAGCAGGAATGAGTATAAATCTTTGTTTTAACCACCATATTCTCATATACTGTTGTTGTAACATTTTTAGTCAATTCCATATATATTAACATGTAGATTATTTACAATTTTAAGTGTTATGAACAGTACTACAGTGAACAGCCTTATAGGAGGTGTATGTGTCTATATACTTATTCTGTCTTTCTCCTCAGAATAGTTTATTGGAAGCAACTGCTAAGCCAAAGGATTGTTTCAAAATTTGATGCATGTGTTCAAATTTGCTCTTTAGAAATTTAGTGCTAATTTGTATTTCCACTAACACCTATGAATATCAGTATCTGATAGTGGAGAAATTATTGGAATTGGCTTTTTATCCATAGTAAATTGTGAATTTAGCATACTGACATATTATGGGTCATGCTTGTATCTTCCATTAATTGCATTTTTTTCTTTGCCATACTTTCTCTTGTAGCTTGGTCTTTTTCTTCTTAAATGATATGAGCTCTTATATATTAAGACACTAATCCTACGTTTAGAGAATTGCTCCCCATTATTAGTTTTTAGATCAGCCTTTTTAAAAAATGAGCTCTCATTTTTAGGTTCTGCTTTAAAGAAGTCTCTCCCCACCAGCCAGAGGCCTAAAGTATTTACTCATGTTTCCTTAAGTTTATATATTTAATTTAATGAAACACGTCTAGAATTAATTTTCCTATAAGAAGCATTCTTTGGCTGGGGACATAGCTCAGTGGCACAGCACCTGCCCGGCAAGCGTGAAGTCCTGAGTTTGATTCCTGGTACCAAAAAAGAGAAAGAGAAACTATCCTTGACTTTTTCTTTCAACATAATAAACTAGCAATAAGATATTTTTGCCTTATATTTCTTCTACATTATATGTGATTTTACAGTAATCTACTTGATTTTTTTTATTTTAAAGAGAATAAAACAAAACAATGGGAACAATATTGGGCTTCAAAAATAAGACAGTAGAAAATCAACCATAGATTGATTTGCAGTGTACCTTGTAATTCTCTAAATAGATGTCCAGACCACCAGTCACAGGCATGCAAAGCCGACCAAACAGCACGGGCACTAAGTTGTTTCTTCAGGTGCTGTCATCTCAGAAATCTCAGGTGTGTTGCTTCTAACTTCCTCTGTGTCTGTGTGCAAAATTAATCAAACAAAATAGGCACTAAGTTGTCTCTTTACTTCCATTGCTATCATTTCAGAGATACCAGGTGCTTGATTTCTAATTTCTTTTGTGTCTGTGTCTCCTGGACCTGAAATGGGTGGCTGGAGGACTGGATTGCACAACCTGCTTCTTCCTCTTGACATTTGTCTGTGTTCCTCCGATTCAGCTGGTTGCTATATCCCAGGCACTCACTGCCTGCTGCCTGTCCTGTGATGTGGGGGACTGGGTTAGGGTCCCCTCATCTGAGGTTCCCAGGATGGCCGAAAGGTGTGCAGCAGCTGCTCATGGGTGTTCCCCAGGTGGCTGTGGAGCCCCGGGGCCTGGCTTCCTCTCCGGTGGCCCAGCTTTTGGAGCCCTGGGGCTCCTTTCCTCCCGGCCTGAGGCGGCAAGCTCTGGGGATTGGGGGGATATGGCTTCTCTTCTGGCCCATGGCGGTAGAGGAGGTGTTCTTTCTAATGAATTGACCATTGCATCTCTAAAGTTCTGAAGTGGCCATAGGAGCATAGAAAGATACCACTTTAAGCTTCTGTTTGAAACCAACAGCTTCAGAAAGTTGCCAGCCTGGATTCGGGGCCATTTGATTTTTTCTTTCAATTGTGAGGCCCCTACCCTATGCTTAGTAACCTTGCTTCTGAGTTTTTCAGAAATTAGGCAAAAAGGAAATCTCAGAATTTTTCTACAGGTGCCATGGGAATTGTTTGGCTTGTTTTGTACTAGAAAAAAAAAAGCTGAGCCAGTATTGTTTTTGCAGCCAGGATATAATTATTTTCTATTATGAAATAAAACAGGGCCCTTCTGTGATATGCTTGGCTCCCCATGTGTCCCCTGCAGGGGTAAGAACTGGGCAGAAGCCCTTTGCGGAGAGAAACCCTGGCCAAACAACACAGGACCTTTTGTCTCAAGATGGCAGGGGCTCATAGTGACAGAAGGTGATGTCCTTGGGGGTGCCCTTGACCACAGGTCACGCAATGCTGTGTTTTTTCAGGGTGGGAGAGAAAGGCTGACTTTGCACGTGGGTGGTCATTAGATCTCAGCACATAACTTAGGGTACCATTTTTAGCAGAGGAGTGTAGATACGAATCACTAGTACTCTAGGTACGGTAAGGGAAGTGTTGGGTACTTCCCAGTAGGCTCATGTATTCCACTCACATGTACATGCAGGCCATCCCAGTGTATGATGAGAGGTTGATTTTAAAAATGGAGAACTGTGATAAGGGCATTCCCCATCGTAATTATTGAAAAACATCATGGCTGAATGTAATGGTGACGTGTGAACTCACCAGCTATGCCTCGATCCCTCTTCTACCTTTTTATGCTTCTCTTGCAGTGGATGATAGCACAGGAGTTATAAACTGTATCTGCTGGAAGAAGTCAAGAAATACTGAGTCTTCACCAGGTAATTTTGTTTGCCACGTTCCTTTCCTTTTCAGCTGCCGATGGATTTTGTTCTCAGCAGCTCATCAGGGCAGAAATAGGGCCCTGAACTTTCACTTTCATCCTCTGGCAACATGCAGTGAGGGACTTGAAACACTGTACTCAGAGTCTTGGCTGCCCTGAAAGCTGGAGCCAGGGTGGGTGATGTGCAGCTACTTCTCTTTCTCCCATTGCTCTGGTGTTCACTTCTTCCTGAGACTGAGGAATGGGAAAATATGCCTGCAAGTTCCAGCCCCTGCTTCTCACTATACCAGCTGTTATGTAAGTCAAGAGGTTTTAGCCTGATTGGCCTCCAGGTCATAATCCTTAACCAAAATTTTGAGACTGCTGTTCCAGTAGCCTCTGCCGCCATGGTCCAGATTTTCTGAGTTTCTAATATGTTAAAATGAATACCAAGAATTCTGAGCTTGTTAGGATGGGGTTCCTTTGGAAGTTAGCCATTAAATAATATAATATAATATGCCAAAAAACTTTAAAATTGTGTGTTGACCACATTGACTACTACTGAAATATTTGGAGTTACTGAAATACATCTTAATAGTTCCTGAGTACTTTTTTTATTTTTTGGTGCTAGGGATTGAACCCAGAGCCTCATGCGTGCTAGATGAGTACTCTTTCTCACTGTTACCACCTCAATCCTCTTGGGTAATTTTAGAAGTTAGCTTCATTGAAAAGGTATTGTGTGACACTGTGATCAGTTTTGACTCTAAAGCTACAGGAATTGGTGTCTTATTTTTCCCATTTTACAAAGTACATGGCCTGGCGCCAGGCACACAGGGTAGTGAGGCAACGCTGTAGGGTTTGTGCTATGGTTGGGGTAAAGGCCCAGTCCCAGGGTGGCAGTATCTGGAGGTGCTGTGGCCATTTGAAAGGCCAGGCCTAGCAAGAGGTCCGTAGTCCCTGGAGGCAGTGCCCAGGGGCACCAGGGTCTGTCAGCCTCCTGGCTCCGTGTGTGCTTTCTTGCTGCTACACTCTCTTGCTGTCATGTGCTGGTCTTGCCACAAACCAGTAGGGCTGCCTGATTTGGACTTGAACCTCTAGAAGGATAACGAGAACCTTCTAGAGATCAAATGCTGAGACTGCAACCCCAAACCACTTATTTATCACAAAATGCCAACACTACAATTAAATCTGAATATTGAGGTTTTAGTTTAGGAAAAACATCCGTTATCTGGGGCTTGGCTGGGGTGACTTGGCTCATATGACGACAGAGGACTCGCCACTTCTGCTGTAGGAACTTACAGCCTGCGCTGCCGCAGCTTAGCACCAACATTTTAACACCAAAGGAGCCTCAGTCATACATAAACACATGTGCACAACTGTGTCCCAGTCAAAGCAGTGGTGAATGGATCTGGTCTGGGGCTGTAGTTTACGGTAGGCGCCTGTTTTAGGCACCATTTTAAGAGTGTCCCAGTTAATTCTGTTGTAAAGAAATGACATCCTCAGGAATATAAGTCTTATATTTAGTGATTTTTTTTTAAGGTAAAAAAAATGTCCATTAATGTTGGTTGATTTTGTTTTTTCTTGTACTGGTGATTGACCTCACGACCTCATGCTTGCCAGGCGAGCACTTAGATCACTGAGCTAAATCTCCGGCAGTGGCCATTAATATTGAAAGATTTTTATTTTTTAACAATTTATATAATTTAATTCCTCCAGTTTTGTCATGCTTTCTTTTTTTAAGATTTTTTAAAATGTCAGTAAGTAGGTGAATCAATAACAATCACAGAGGATGTCCTTAATTTTAAATTACTTTACAAATAATAAGAATATCAGAAAAAAAGCCTGAAAGTGATTATCATCTTGTTACGCATATTTTAAAATTGCTCCTAACTTGTCCATTCTCTCCTTTTAATGTAATTGCCTGAAGTTTAAACACTTTCCATTGAAAAGTGGCCAACGAAGACAAAATTTTTTTAAACAAAATTTAATCTATGCCAAAATCATGTTGCAGTCAGCTAAAGTAGAAAAATATAGTATTCATTTTTAGAAATATTACACTGAATGTACTGCTTGGACTTAGCTCGTGAGCAAAGCTAAGATAGCTTGGCCCTCAATAGTAGGATGTGAAAGGGGATTTATCTTTCAGGATGGCACGGACTACTTAAAATGAAATTCTGTCAGGCTCTAGCCGTCTCATTCTATTCATTAAATTACTTGCCAGACTCTTCTTGAGCCAGCATGGCTTACCCTTTAAATGGAAGCTCGGGTAATTTCAGCACTTATTATCATTCAGAATGTCTGCATAATGGAGGTGAGGTTTATGAATGCCCTTTACATTCACCCTAAGTAGAACAGGCCCAGGGACAAGACACAAAGGAAGTAGACTTTTAGAAAGTGGTTCTTTTTTCTGAGGGAAACCGCAGGACTGATGCCAGTTGTGTCTGGGTTCCTGGGTGCTGGTTATTGTGTATATCGCTCCCTGTCTCCCTTGGTGTAGCATATGTGTTAAAGTGAACGCCTCTGCACAGGGCAAAGGCACAGTTATCAACATTGTGTTAGGGCAGAAAATGTGACCAGGAGACCAAAAGACACCCAATCCATCATAGAAGCCCTATTAGGAGGCAAACCACAAATAATACAACATTAGGACAGAAATCAGCATGTAACAAAGTTGCTATTTCAGGTTGTCTTGGTTACTTTTCTCATTGCTGAGATAAAATACCTAATGCCCAAAGTGAAGGGGCAAAAGTCTTGTTTAGCTCACAATTTGTGGAGGTTTCAGTCCATCATCAGCTGGCTCCAAGGCAGGGTGGCATAGCTGAGGGGCAATAGTTCATGGTGGCAGAAGACAACAAAAGCAACAAGAGAGAACAAAAGAGACAAAACTTTCAGTCCCTTATGTTGTGTGGCGGCTACTCTACCTAGGGCCAGTGTAGCGCTCACACCCTTAATCCCAGCATCGCCCTGCAAATCAATCACACACACTAGATTCAGCTACCTCTGAAAAAACTCTGACCACTTGAGGCTTTGGGGAGACATCCAGACACAAGCCATAACACAGGTAGATAGCAATATTTGAAAGGAGTTCACTGTGTTTCCTATCTTGCAGCTTATATAAAACAACTCAAAGCGACAGAGTTGTCTATCCCAGGAAACATGTCAAGCTCTGCTATGCCCCTGGCTGTCAAAGCCCTGAAAACTTGTTACCAATGACAACAAGATGGATCAATTAAAAAATTAAGATACTTTTCAAACTTTTGTAAAGTACAATGAAATCACATAAATGTGAAAAAGAAATTGGAGTGGGAGGGGTGTGTGTAATCAGGCTCACTGATAAAATGTCCTGACATTTAAAAGAAACTAACAAAGCTGAAGAGATCAGGGCTTATCCATAAAGAAATGGAGTGGATCGTCTCGTAACAGGGTGAGTCACACTTTATGGACTCACACTGTGTTCATTAAGAAATTAAAGATCCTAATGGCAGAAGCTGGTGGAGTGTGCACCTTGCCAATGATATTGTATAAAGACTGAGTGGCATGCTTATTTTTTCTGGCAGACATTCTGACAATGTGTTACAATCTGAAAACGTGATAAAGAAAGCAAAATAATTTTGTCTAAAGAGCTTCACAAATAGCATGTACTTATCACTCCCCGTGGATCTGCTATTGTCAAAGCTCATGATGTAAGAGTTAAATTAGATCATACACGTAAAATCAGATCTTACACAACAGCTCTGTGTGAGGTAGACGCTATCACTGTCTCCATTTCCTAGGGGAGGAAACAAAGACTTCAGAATAGAGGAAAAAAAGAGACACAGTGAGGTTAAGTAAGCTGGCCAAAGGTACCTAGCTAATAAAAGGTAAACTGAGAGTTAAGTCAGGTCTTAATCAAGGAGATAAATGCTGACCTCCAAACTGTTTGACCCTCACACAGTGCTAGTGGTACAAATCAAAAAATATCTTTAGGCAGGCCTGGTGGCACACACACCACTACTAGAGAGGAGAATCACCAAGCCCAAGGCCAGCCTGAACTACACAGCATGATCCTGGCTTGGAAAGTGAAAAAATTTTATCATAAGGGAAGTACTGAGTGAGACTAGCTAACTAAACTGTTCTCTTAGGCAGAATGCTAGTTGCTATTTGAGAGGCTATGTTTTGTAGGTTTTGTAGATACATAATATGTATTTGGAATCACAGTAGGCAGAAAAAGGGTATAAAAATCTTTTTTCTGAATCACAGTAACTAGGACATTGATAGTGTGTTGGGCAGGCAGCAGAAAGTGAAGGAGAAACAGGAGGGCCACAGCCTGGGTGCGTGAGTTTACCCCGCAGCTCTGCCCCCACCACCTGCTTCACCTCTCTGTGACTCCATCCCCTCCCCTCTGCAGTGGGGCCAGTAAAAGAGAGCAGGGAGGTTCAGAAGGAGGTTTCGGAACAGCATCCTGTATCTAGACACTTGTAGCTGCTCTTAAGTTATGCGGTTTACAAGTAGAATTTGAGTGGTGCAGATTACTGAGGACTAAACACACGTTGGTTTCTTTTAACCATGAAGTTCTGTTTTAAATGATACAAGAGTGAGTACTTAAGAGAGAGTCTAGTTCCCAGAGTCGGGAGGAGGGAGAGCTTAGGACAGTGGTGGCAAGCCTGTGGCACATACGCCACGGCAAGCATGCAGAGCCCTCTTGTCGATGACGTCATGAATTGTATGAGTTATTTTCCTGAAGTAAAACTTCAGTAGTCAGGTTTAACTGCAGTGTTGGCATTTTGTGATAAATAGGTGGGTTTGGGGTTGCAGTTTGGTCACTCAGTCCCCAAAAGTTTTGCCCCTAGGTACTTGATTATCATATCAAGTACCTAGGGGAGACAAGTGTCTGCACAGATGCTTTAGAGCTGTGGAGACCAGTTGCCCTCCAGGTTCAGCTGAGCACTTTGTACATCACTGGGCTGAGGGGCTGATGATCAAGCTGTCGGTACACAGCTGGAAAGAGCATGGGAGCAGCCTGGATTCGCCCACTTGGCCTTAGTCTGCACTGTTTCCTTCATCCTACTTCTGAATAATTACAGCATTGAATCTGTGAAGAATTTCCAGAGGCTCTGAGGAACCCCTGTTAGTTAGAAAGAGAACAAATGTGTTGTTTCCCTTGTGCTTCTCTCCGTGTGAGGGAGCCCTGGAGTTAAACCTCTCTCCTCCCTGGTGCTCCTCACAGCTGCTCCAAGCTCAGCAGGAGAATTGAGTATGATTTCAAAACTTGAGAAGCTGCAAGAGACCATCGAGCAGAGAACCAGGATAGAAATTGGGGACATTATCCGAATCAGAGGTTTTATCCGCACATACAGAGAAGAGCGAGAAATTCATGCCACCACTTACTGTAAGTACAAGATGTTTCTGCCAGATAGTTGCTATTCTGGGTGTGTGTTCAGTGAACTCTTCTTTAGCTAAAAATCAAACTTCCAGAAACTTTAGAAGACTTAACTCTAATGGGGGAATTATATGGCATAGCTTGCTTTCTTTAGAAAAGCAGCCTTTCTTTCTTTCTTTCTTTCTTTCGTTTTGTTTTTTGAGACAGGAGCTCACTGCTCATTATGTAGTTCAGGCTGGTCTTGAACTCACAGTTATCTTCCTGCCTTAACCTCCCAAGTGCTGAGATTACAGGCGTGCTCCTTCATGCCAGTTTAGAATTTGGAGTTGGGGTGCTGAGAATTCAACTCAAGGTCTTGTGCTTGCTAAGCCGGAAATCTGCCACTGAGCTGTCTCCTTGGATCCCAGCATTTCTTAATTTTATTTTGAAGAAAGAAAATTATAATTAAGTTGGGAAAGAAAATAAATCATTGGTTATATCTAGATGCTGCTTTGAAGTTCTGAGTGTCAGTGCACCTGGGTAGATTGTTCATATTCTTCAAGATGATGGGTGTTTCCTGAGCACCATTAAGCCCTTCACTTGAAGTGAAGAGAGCAGTTCATCAGAAATGGGGCACTTTTGCATGGCTTCCCCTTTGCGCTGTGCGGGGGGATGCTCAGCTGGCAGTGTCAAGGACGGCTCCTATTGTGTGCCAAAGTGACAGATGAACTACTGCCCTGCCGCCCCTTGCTGGTCCCCATCCACGCCCTGTCACTCCTGATGCTCAGGGCATGGCCTGCCTTCTCCAAGGGTGACTGGGGACCTTCAGTCCATCTTGACTGCCGCCTTGCAGTGATTCGGACTGGGAAGGGCCTGATCATAGTGCACGATGGCATCTCTTTCCTGGGTTTGTTAGATAAAGTGGATGACCCGATGTGGAACATTCAAATTGCAAGAATGCTCGAGCTGCCTGATCTCTACAGGAGAATATACGACCAGCCCTTCCACAGCCCGGCCCTAGAGCAGGAGGAGGCAAACAGGTGCGTTCCACTCTATCCCTGCCTGAGGTGCACAGGAGAGCTGGGTGGCAGGAGCCTGCAAGCCAGGATTGGCCTGGGGTAGATCCAGAAGACTTGAGCACTGTGGGAGCTGTGACCCTCTGTGAACCTCAGTTTCCTCATCTGCACAGTGAGGATGGTAGTAGTACAAATGTCCTGGAGTCACTTCCAGGAAAATATATGGATAATTAATGTTACGGGTGGCTTCCCTATTACTGGAACAAAGTACCTGACACTTACAGCTTCAAAAAGGAGTAATTTATTTTGGCTCATGATTTCAGCCTGTGGTCGTCTGGCCCAAAGGCAGAAGTAGCATGGTGGTTGAGCATGGCAGAGGAACGCTGCTCACCTCAGGGTGACCAGGAAGCAGAGAGAGAAGGAGCCACAGGCTGCCGCCAGGGACCCAGTCCTTCCAGCCGGGACCCACTTCCAAACTTGAGACTTCTGGCACGCGTTTTAGATCTGAACCATAACAGAATAAAAGGAGGAGCACAGGAAAAGTGTTGGAAAAAATAGCAGGTGACACTTTCCCAAGTTGGATGAAATCTATAAACTCACAGATCCAAGAAACTCAACCCATCCCTGGCAAGAGACTGGAATATAACTGTAGTGAGACATATCACCAATTGATAGTACCCTACCGCACATCATGACCAGCACCTACACAAAACCCCAATAGTAACAGCTCAGCAGCAGTTCTTCCAAACCAAAGCCGGCCCAGGAGGAATGAGATGTGGGAATTTGCTAGTATGTGGGAAGATATCCCAAGACCTAGTGACTCCTCAGGATACAGGATGGGCGGCGAGGGCGGGATAAGGAAGGAAAGGGAGTTTTAAAATTACGTCTCTTCCATTTAAAAAAAAATTTTTTTGCAGTGCTAGGGGTGGAACCCAGGCCCTTGCACATCCTAGGCAAGTGCTGTACCACCAAGCTACACCCCTAAGCCTCCCCGTAATTTTTAAAATGTGACTATTTTAAAATGTTGCGTATCCAGGAAATGTTTTAATAAAGTACAAATGATAGACCTGTGTAACACAGAAAGTGGCAATTGTCCCCACAGTGCCAGTCCCAGAGGTTACTCCTGCTCCAGGTTCCTGTGTCTCCCTGGAGATTGGTTTCTTCTGAGCATGAATAATCATCAGTGTATTCTGTAGTTTTCTCTTTACTTTTTTTTTTTGAGGGTGGTTACTGGGGAGTGAAGCTGTATCCCTTTTTATTTTTTGTTTCGAGACAGGATCTTGCTAAATTGCCAAGCTGAGCTTGAACTTTTAATCTGCCTCAGCCTCCCAGAATGGCAGGTTTGCAGACGTTCTACACTGCTCTTTTTTTTTTTTTTTCTTAATCTACCAGGAATATCTCTGTTAGTTCTCAGAGTTCTATCTCATCATTTTAAATAAATATCTGATCTTCACTATAGCATTGCATCTAGTATTGCAATATAATATTGCATTTCTAGCTAACTTTCTGTCTTATACATACCAAAAAAGGAATCAAGGTGATGGTTTTCTGCAGGGCTTTTAAAGTTTTTCTCCCACCAGCAACCCAGGTGCCCTGGACATTACCGGTCTCACATGTTTGCTGAGTGAAAAAGTCAAAGAATTCCTCCTGGAGAAGAAAGTGCAAAACTTCTACCAGCAGGAATTGGAATCAGTGACCTCCTTGCTGTCCCTTGCCAGTCAGCCTGTGACTCATGGCACCTGTTCCAACCAAGTGAGTGTGGCATGCTCACATGAAAGTCTGGGTCTTCTGGCCACACGGTGTGGGTGGCCATGGCTGGCGTAAAGCTAGGGTGGATCCTGGGCATAAGTCATGGTTCTGACTTAATCGTTTCTATTTCAGAAAGCTCAGTGACCATGAAGTGTCTGAAATGAGGGCAGACCCACCCTTTTCTCCTCCTTATTTAATCTCATTGCACCTAATCTTCAGCGGAACACTAATCACAGGCGTGGTCTGGCTGTCAGTGCTCACTGAGAGGGTGTTTAGTCCCAGCCGAATCCTGGGAGGGGAAGGGGGAGGAGAGGAGTCCTGTACCCTCCCTCCTTGGTCATTGATCGGCAGGTCATTCATGAACTTTAATGACTGGTTCCCTTCAGAGTAAGGCTAACCTGTCATATTTTAGGAGTTTAAATAGAGAACCAGTTGTATTCGGTCTAGTTTATAAGTAAAAGTCTTAGAATACTGAAGTTCATTTCAGGTTTTTTTGTTTGTTTTTAATTTCTAATGTTACAGGCAGATAGTTTTAGTTATTTGGCATTTTTTTGTTTGAAACTAAGAATAATTGGCGACTTTGGTTTTAGGCTTTCCTTTCACTCCTTTTTCTTAAGTTTGTTGTAATTCTGACATGACTCATATTTATTTATTTTAAAATAAATAAACAATCTCAGCATAAATACAACCTTCTTCCCTTCCCCAGTTATCTGTTCTGGCTGCCACTTGTCCCTCACTGATCACCCTGTTACTTTTATATCTGTGATGTTACTCTGTTCCATCAGGATTTAAGACCTGTGAGATCAAAGACCTTGTCTGTCTGTCTTATTCTTTGTTCTATATCCAGGCAGGGCTTCAACCAGGGCAGGAGAAAGCAGATTCTTGGTAATTATTTGATTGAAGAAATGAATACTTATAAAAATTCAAATGGTTCCCCAAAGTGGGTCATTAAAAATAGGTGCCCTTCCCATCCTTCCTCTCATCATGCCCCTGTCCCCAAGACAAGTCCATCGCCACTCCTGAATGTGCTTGTTGAGCGAGTCCGTGTGTGTGGACGCCGTGTATATGGTACCCAGTACCATGCTACCAAACCTAGAAGAGGCCTAGCTGTTTCCTGAGCAGTGTGTCTTGCACTTTGGATCTTGGTCTGGTCATATATGTAGATTTGCCACTGTGGAATGACCATTTGTCACCTGACCCGCAGACTGGTTAATGTATGTAACCAGTGCCTCCATCCCTGGCTGGTCAGAGGTTTGCTAGTGTTCTGTTACTAGCAGGGCTACCGTGTGTGAACACTCTCGCTAAGGAACCTAAATTGTGCTTTGTAATAGTGGTAGAGGCCTAAAAGGGTCTACATGGAAAAAGAACAAGGGGAGAAACATTCAAACCGTGCTCCTCCTCTGAAATCTCTGAAATCCTCCTGACCTCCAGGGCCTGGCCACTGCCCCTCAGGTGTGTTCATATGCCTCATTACCTCTTCGTGCCAACCAGATCATGTGCCTAGTGACCCAGGGTTCCATATGGGAGATGAAGAATAGCATTACAGAAAACACCTAGGTGGAGAAGGTAAAACCAGGTGCTTTGCTGTTTGCCAGGGTTGCTCTGCACAACCCCAGCTTCCCAGCTGTCCAAGTGTGACCTTCCCACGTAGTGACACAAAGGAGGCTCAAAGCCAAATTGATCCCCTCGCACTTCCAATGACTGTCCATATGCTTGCCAGGAAGCTAGTGCTTAGGGAAGACCACATTCTTCCCATGGAGCCAGTTCTTCTGTGATGGCTGTAATTAAGCAGAGAGACAAAAGGACATTTTGAGGACTCAGTGCTTCTCCACTTGGAGTGATCTGTGAGGAACGTAGAGCAGAGGAGCGTTTCTGCCCCATGCTACATGTTCAGGAGGGACGGCTCTGGCACTGTATGTGCTTTGTCTTTGGAGACCATTTTTCTTCATCAATTATGAATAAGTCTGTCATTGCTGTGGTCAGGGAGGTCGGTGTCATTCCATTCGATCCACTTAATAAAGCCCTGGGAGACTAACGATGCTCACAGTGATGGTGAAACCTGAGAGCCTCTGGCACTTTGCATTGTTGAGCTTAACAAAAAGCCACTGTGATGGTGTGGTAGATTTTAGAGGAGGAGAGTGGTTTGAACATTTCTCCTTTTGTTCTTTTGCTGTGGAGGCCCCTCTTAGCAAATCTAGAAACATGATAAGCAGATCTTGCAAAGCCATTGTTTCTTCTGACAGCTGGATGGATGTGGAGGTGGTTGGGAGTGAGGATGAAATATATTTCAGGGAGCTGCCCTGTGCCTGACCTGAGCTGAGGCTTGGCTCATTCAGCCAATTGCCATTTTAGTCTGTGAGCAGTTTTGGTTTCCTGACCCGATGGGTCTGTCATTGCCCTTTCAAGAACAAGAAGAATCCATGAGAACTCAGAAAGAAAAAAAAAAAAGAACAAGAAGAAAACAGATTCCAGTTCTGGAGGAGCTGCTGGCAGTTTGGGAGAGGGAACTAGCGGTCTTCCCTTGGAGTCTGCGGCCTTTGAACCAAGCCAGGAAACATGTCCCAAGGTCAGCTGAGACCGAGGTTTCTGAAAGGAAACTTCGCCCATTGTTTATATTTACTGAGGCCTTCCTGTTGCATCTTCCTTGTTGGCAACTAGAACTGCTTCTGCTCTCCTAGGCCTGTGTGCTCTCTTTTCTGCCACTGGTCTTACTGAAGAAAGGAGCAAATGTGTACACAAAGGTTGCCCAACTTGAGAGGAGCAGACTTCCTACTCCCTATCCCTGCAGTAAACAAACAAATCCCAACTAAAGTATGGAACAGTTAACAAGCTTGGTTCTGTTGGAGAAACTTCCAGCCTCCTTACCTACCATCCCGCTGAGCTGTCACACACGAATCTTCCTTGAGCCAGCAGATTAGAAGCCTATAAGGTGGATTCATAAACCAGTTGCCCTGGGAAATTGTCTTTAGGTGCTGTAAGGTGGAACTTACTCTTTTTTTTCTTTCTTTTTCCTCTCCATGTAGGTGGAATTTAAGAACAACACCAGTACCAAGGCCATTCATAGTATATTTAAGAATGCTATACAGCTGCTGCAGGAAAAAGGATTTGTTTTCCAGAAAAATGATGGCTTTGATACCCTGTACTATGTGAGAACCTTAACTTTTTTTTCTTCATAGCTTCGATTACAAACATTGTTACTAAAGAATTTTATTTTCTTTCTTTTTTTTTTTGTATTTTTACCAGTACCAGGGATCAAACTCACGACCTCAGGCTTGCAAGGCAGGCGCTTATGCCTCTGAGCTAAATCCCCAGCCCCACTAAAGAATTTTAAAACTTACTGTTTTTAAAAAATTAGTAGGTTGCAAATAAAGTTAGAAGTGAAAATTAGCCTTACCTTTCTCCACGCTACTTTCTGTCTATCCTTCCAGACATGTGTCTGTTCCTTCACAAATGCACAAATTACAGATACACTCCTGTACCTTTTTTGTTTCATAAAAAAAAGTGATCTTCTTCTGAATCAGGACTTGTTAACCTTAGCACAAATGGGCCAGATGGCTGTTGGCCATGGGGACTGTCCTGTGCCTTGTAGGCCATTTAGTGTATCTGCATCCTTTACTCACCAGCTACCAGTAGTACCTCTTCCATTGTGATGATCAAAAACATCCCTGGACACAGCTAAGTGCTCCCTGGGACAGCTGAGGACTGCTGCTCTGTGCAGTCCACGGTGACTTGTATTGATGTTGAAATAGCCTCTCCTGGGCACCTTTGCACACGGACACTTGGGAATGCACCCCATTCTTTTCGACGTCCTTGTGGTGCATGCTACGCTGTGCATTTTTTTATCCTTTTTTTGTTACGAACTGTCGTGCTTTTTCCAACTTCTGCTCTTGAAGGCAGTGTTGCATTGGCCTTCTCGGTACATCTGTCTTTGTGAACTCGTGCAGTTTCTGTAAGAGCATTTCACATGTGTTTAAGCTGCTTGCCAAAGGCTGTGCCCACTGATTTCCCACCAGGTACCCAAACTGGGGAATCCCTCTGCCTCATTGCTTTCCTCTGCCTCTTGCTGCAACCCCTTCACTTTGGGGTGGCCAGGCTGGAAACGAGTCTCTTTGGGACATCGAGGTCAGCAGCATAAATGTAGCTTCGGGAAAGTGAGTAGTCTGTGCCTAGCTGGGTCCCCACGGTAAGGTCTCCTGACTAGCATACTTCCTGATGTGCATTTATCTCAGCATTCGGAACCCTATGGTTTTCCAGTGCTGTTGAGGAGCTGCTGGAGGGGACACTCCAATCTGGAAGGGCGAGTGCAGCCCATTCTGTCTGGGATTGGGAAGGTGTGTGGGGTTGGCTGGAGCTGTCGGGCCAGCAGGGCAGATCAGCTGTACCCCCCCAACACCTGTCCCCTTCCCCACCCTTCAAACTGTGGGCCACGGCTCCTAGAAGGCAGCCTGTCCTGGGGAGCGGCAGAGCCACAGGCAGCACTGGGGATGAGACCCAGCAGGGCTGGACACTTCCTCCTGTGACTCACTCTATGCTGGAATTGGCCATCAGGCAGGAACAGGCCTCCTGTCGCCTCCCGACTTCACTCCTCCCCTTCCACTCATTGTGGGCTGCCCAGGTTTCCTCTTCCCTGAGACCCGGGCTCAGGGCAGTGGTTCTTACCGTGGGGGCAGGCACCACTCCTGTGAGACTGGTGCCTTCCAGCTCTGAGCAGTTGGCACACATGGCCTTTTTCTTTTCTCTTCTTTTTTTTTTTAATGTGGTAGAAACTAAACCCAGGTCCTTCACACTGAGGTATATCCCCAGCCCTATTTTTTTGTACCAGGAATCAAACTTATGATCTTGCATTTGCCAGGCAGGTGCTGTGCCACTGAGCTAAATCCTGGGCCCTCCCTAACTTTTTAAAAAAATTTAAAGACAAAGTTTTGCTAAGTTGCTCAAGCCTAGGCTTAAACTTGAGATCGTCCTGCCTCTGCCTCCCAGAGTGCTGGGAGTACAGACCTAGCTTCACACACATGACCTCATGTAACTTTCCCAGTCAACCGTGAGTTAAGTCAGATCCAAGGCATTTATGGCTGTCTCTGCAGTGGAAACTCCCATTGTTGTAGGTGGGTGATCGTTAGGAGATCTTACAAACTCTCCTAAATGCTAGCTTAAGTGTCTGGGTGATCTACCTGTTGGGTTACCTGAGAATCTTCTCTCTCGGAACTTTTTTCCTGTTTAGGTAACCAGAGAAGATAAAAACCTGCACACAAAGGTCCACCAGATCATTCAGGAGGAATGCCAGAGGCCAAATCGTAAGTGGGTGATGTGCAGGTGAAGCAGATGTGTGGTGGGAGGGCTGCTGGAAGAATCCAGAGACAAGGCTTTTCCCAGTGCTGACCTGGAGAAGTGACGGTCAAGACACTGTGTTCTCTGAGCCGTTTCCACACCTCTAAGGCGAGGTTAGGCCTGCACAGTAGCTTGGACATTGCCTGCAAATAAGATTGAACCCGGAGAGCTTCTAAACTTGCTTCTCACTCCCTTAGGCTGTGCGGGGGCTCAGTGGTGAGCCCGGGTGGGTGTGGACTGTGCTGTCAGGTTCTCCTACAGGGTTTTGTGGTGGTGGTCTGCTTCTCATGTTCTGAGTTGCATTACTGTTGGTGCTTGCCCCTAGTCTTTGAACATAAGCCTGATCTTCGTTCTCTTCAAACATATGGCCTTTCAGTGTCAAAAGGGATGAGTCTAGACATCACAGTATGTGAATGATATGATGCACTTATCTTGGAAGCTGGTCATTTGCAAGAGAAATGGCTTAGAAAGTAATTCGTCTCACTGGGCTTAGGTCAGCCCCTAGTGGGGAGATTGTCAAACTGCATGTCTCTCAGTGAGCAGGAGCCCGTTTCCTCCTGTTTAGAGAAGAGGTAGCATTAGTCCTGTCTTTAAAACGCAGGTAAACTGGTCAGTTTTCAGGGTGACTTCAGAATCCACCTTTTGCAAGCATACGCTAACAATGCATGTTGACTTAGACAAAGCCATGTGTTAGAACTGTAAAGGGTTGTTACCGACCCCACCTCCCTGATCCTGCTTTCTTTACCACCAGGAATATCCCCCTCCAGTCTTTTTGCTCCAGTATCCCTGGGGTCTGGACCTGGTCCAGGCTGAGTCCATAGGTGGAGAGGACCAGCCCTTCTGCCCTGGTGTCAGCCCAGAGTAGTACACAGCAGATCCTAAATCAATCTGAGTTTAATGTACCTGTGTGACTCTTGGTCTCTGCATGCAGGACAGTGAAAACAAGCATCCTTCCGCTGAGGAGGAAGTCTTTCTACTGCTATTTAGGGTGCCCGTAGGACTTCTCAGCCAGCAAGAAGGTGCCTCCAGCCCGGGTACCCTGGCCACATCCATGTCCTAGTTTGATCTGCACTGGGAGCAGAATAGCTTGAAGCCTAGGGCCTAGTGAAGTGAATGAGAGGAGTTCATACTTCATGTCTAACAGTCTTGGGGATACAAGGGATGGTAAAGCCTACCATGAGTCAGCTCCTCAAGTGGGCACATGTGCGGCAGACAAGCCCCGGCAGCAGGCTGTGTGGGGGGCCAGCCGCCTGGTGCTGACTCCTAGGACCTAATTCTGGAACACAAGTAAGAGGCTATCTTAGCATTTGCTTCAGTCACTCCTCTCCATAATGCTATAACCTGTGGCATTAAAAATTACTCTGAATAATAATATGTGCTCACGATTAAAGATCAAGCATCATAAAAATGCAGGCAGCAGAATCAGAGGCTTCCTTAACACCGGTTCTGCCATGCAGAGCGTAGCTGCTGCCAGTTCTTCCCCGCCCTCCCAGGTACACGCGCCCGCACACGGGTGTGCAGCAGATCCTTCTTAAAAAGCACAGTGAAATGTAGCCTGCAGTGCCCGAGTTCCATACCCTGGTTCTTACCTCCCACTGTGGCTCTTGGAGGCCATCGGCAATGGCACTACCCATGTGCTGGGGTCAGCCCTCTCGCTGTCTGCCGTGCTTCCTCCTGTGTCCGCAGAGAGCTCTGCCGGCCGCTCGTTCCGACCTCCGTCCTTGTCAGGTGACTGCCTGGCAGATTCCCTCTTTTCAGGCCTCAGTGAACAAAGGCTGACCCTACATTAAGGAATGAGCTGAGCACAGCAAGCCTGACTTAGGGCTTTGGAGGATCAAAGGGGTCCATCTAAAGGGGGCCACTGCACAGGATGGGAAAGAGCTGGGCTCTGTGGGCGCATGCCTGGATTTCAGCCCTGTCTCACAGGCCACTCTAGCTGTGTTGACTTGGGTGCGTCTGTGCCTCAGCTTCTTTACATGCAGGGTAAGGGCAGTACCGGTGCCTTCCTGACACTGCCAGGAGGAGCAGGGAAGCAGTGTTGGTAAAGCATGTGCTGTGAGGGCCATCTAAGGGCTAGAGCAAGTGAAGCTCACATCCCATGGTACCAGTGACCACCTGTCCTGCCTAGCCTGGCCTGTGAAGGCTCATGTCCACTCTCCGCTGTGGGGTTAGTGATGTTCCCGGACAGTGCCACTGTGCATGCAGTCATTGTGTGGAGTTAGTGTGTTGTTGGGCTAAGTTTTTACAAATATTTGGATTTCAGTTTTAATTATGAAAGGCAACTTATCCAGAAAAAGTGAATTCTACCCTGAAAATGGCCTTTTAGCCCCAGCTTTTTATTCTGAAAATGTTCTGACCTCTAGAAAAAGTGAAATACTTGTACTATAGATGTCACCGAAATACTGTTGCTTGTGTGTTCAGTGGGACATAGGGACATTCTCCCACACGCTCACCATCACTGTTTCACCTCAGCAGATTCCTACGGCAGCAGCTCATATCGTTTGTTTATATCGTTTGTTTTTCCTCCAGTTCACTGTATTTATTGGGGTTCTTTCTGTGCCTGTGACACACCTATTAGAGTGATTGTTTCCTAGCCTTCTGTAGTAAGTAGATTATTTCTGAGATTGATTTCTTTCTTTCCTTTTTTTCCCCGAATACTAGGGATTGAAGCCAAGGCCTTCACACTGACTAAATTCCCAGAACTATCCCCCTTTTAAAAAAAGTCTCACTGTGTAGTTCAAGCTGGCCTTGAACTCATCACAGTCCTCCTGCCTCAGCCTCCCAAGTACTGGGTTTACAGGTATTTTCCACCACACCCAGCCTCCCAGACTTTAAAAAATTTTTTTAAAATTTTGAGATAGAGTCTCACTAAGTTGCCCAGGCTGGGCTCAAACTTGGGATCCTCCTGCCTCGGCCTTCCAGAATTCTTGGGTTACAGACCTGCAGCATCATCCCTGACTTGAGCTTTATTTTAATATGAATTGGGTCTGTTAGAAATCAGTTTTTGGTTCTGGTGGAGGTAGGTCCGAGCAAGGTTTCCTGCAAAAGTGTTTGGAAAAGCTCAGCCTTTGGTATCATTGCTCTGGGAGGTTCCTTGTGATACCACATTGCCAGGCCAGTGCCTTGTAGAAAACTCCTGTGGCTGCTAGGTTGACCTGTGAAGGACTGGGGGTCACGTCAGCTGGGGAGCTGCCTTCTGGCTTTTATTTCTCCTCATTTCTAGTAATTACTCACATGAAGAAGAGTCTCAGCCTTGGCCCCAGGGGCCCAGAAGGTTGCTTTGTGCACAAGCTACTGACCCTCTTCCCAGAGCCCATAGATGCTGGGGCCACCTCTCAGCATCACCCATGAATGCAGGGCTTAGAAACTGCGGTAGGAGCTGAGGAATTCGGTCAGGAGAGACCCTTCCCCCTACGTTGGGAATGCACCGATCATCTCTTACTGTCAGTTTTTCTCTGCAAGCCAGTGCTTTTTGGGAAGGGCTGAAGCTTCTTTCTCCCTTGTGGCACCAGGGGTTAATTGCAGGGCCTTCACGCTGAGCTGTACCCCAACTCTGTCTGGAGAGAGGGTCACACTAAGTCGTCCCAGCTGGGCTCAGCTGGCCATCCTCCTGCCTCGGCTTCCCAGGCAGGAGGCATGCGCCCCACAACTAATAGAACTGAAGTTTGTCGAGATGGGACAGGCTGTGACTTGGTCTGGCTTTGGATGTCACATGGGCATAGTGGTTCCCCATATTAGAGACAGCAACTGCAGGTCTCCTATCATCCACACAGCCACCCTGTGGGATGTGGTTTTTGTCCTGGAAGCTACTTTGCCCAGTCGTTGGGTCTGGGGGCTGCAGCGGCAGCTGTCCATCACCATGCAGTAGGTGTTCAACAAAGCTGGCTGGTGACTATTGAAAAACAGCTTGCAAATGTGGAGTCAGGAAGAGTAATGAGCAGGCGCGGCCACTAGAGGTCGCAGTTTGGCTCATCTTTGTTAGTCAAGGACCGGCCTGTGCAACTTCAGCACAGACAGGGACCACAGAGACTTCCCGGTCCCCAGTCCTGCTCCTGCAGCGTTTTATCCTCAGAACCAACACACACTGCCTGCGGAGCGGCTGACGGGTGTAAGGTGCTGTACCCCAGCCCGGCCATGCTCTTAATCATTGCTTTCAGCAAGAAGGCACTCAGCCTTGTCACTGCCTACCAAATAGTCTCAGTTTGTGGTACAGAGTAAGAGGTCACTGGAACACAGCCTCGTAAGCCAGGCAAAGAGGCAAGCAAATAGGGAGCAGGCGGAAAGAAATCCTTCTCTATGGCAGCCCCATCACAGCAGACTTGGGAGGCTGCGCTCCATTGTGACTCCTGCGAGAGCTCCTGCCAGGTGACCCAGAGAGGCAGTGCTGAGCTCATGCCCTTATGCCCATAACTGTGCAAGAGAATGAGGCTTTTCAAGAAGTAAAGCCCCACTGGGTGATGGTCTGTAACATTACTGCATGGGGGCCCTTGGAAGTCGGAGGTCAGAAGCCCTCAGCAGCGGGTTCACATCACTGTGGTAGCATCAGGGGCCTGCGAAGAGGGTTTTATGGTTTGTTTTAGGATCCTTTAGTCCAGTGCATCTTTGACTTTACTGTCCATCACAATCAGCCGGGGATCAGCCCCAGTGCAGATGCAGTGCTAGAGCTTTGGAGAGGGAGTGGACCGAGGAGGAGCTGGCAGCCGTATCCCACCCACCCACCCACATTTACCCAGCTGCTTTATCCCCGCAGACATGGAGAAGGGCTGCCACTTCCAGCACATCTTGGCCTGTGTGCACCTAAGCGTCCACCCGGGCCTGAGCAAGGCTGTGCTGCAGCAGGTGCTGGAGCTCCTGGAGGACCAGAGCGACATCATCAGCACCGCAGAGCACTACTACACGGCCTTCTGAGCAGAGGGCAGCAGGGCCACTGAGGAGCCGGAAGACCAAGCTTAGCCCAGGCTCTGCTTGTAAACGGCAAGCCAGAGCTCACGTGTCTGCAGGAAGCTGCCCCATGGTCAACCATTGGCTGCGTCACTGGGGAGTGAGACTGGGCATTCTGCGTGCCATATCCCCGGGCACAGTGACTTTGACCTCAGCAATGACATACAAGAAAACCCTCCTCACTGACCTCCTGGATGGACATGGCATCTGTCAGGGAACAACAGGAAGACACAGTGTTGGTGGCTTAATCCACACATGGTCACTAAGGTGGTAAAGGACCTTACTGAGGACACAGGTGACACAATTCTGATGCATCCTAAGACCCCAGGCTTTTGACTGCATCCCCATGGGCTCCTCTGAGGGCCTACATGGGTGGATGGCTGAGTGTCACTTGCCTTTGCCTTTGGGTGTTCAGCAGCAGCACTGGGGCCTGGGGCTTGGCCTGCAATTTGCAGCAGAGTGAGGAGCCGGGGTGTGACTCTGTGCTTGTCATCTTCCTTCAGGGGCCAGAGGCACTCTGCACATTACCCGGCCCCGCATGACTGCACCGCAGGCCCACGGTGCCCTGGAGCCACCAGGGGCTGCCAATAGCTGCTTGGCAGGAGGCGAGTGTTGTTCTCGCAGTTGCTGCTGAGTGAGCAGGATGCGCCCAGACAGGTGCCAGCATCAGGCTTTTCTTGTGAATAACAAGGTAGAAGGAAACTGTCTGAGGCGTGTAGTAGGCTTGTTCTAACAGAAAATGACAAATTCAGCCAGCAAAAATAAAGTATGCAAAAAGCTTTGGAGTTAATTACAGTCATTTTGCAGACACACATCAGCCCGCGTCTGCTGGTCTGGCTCTTGATACAATAGTCTCAGAGGCTCAGCTGGAATTCTGCAGGCCCACGAGCTGCTCCACCGCCGTAGACATGGGAAAGGTCTTTTTGGAGGTCTGCCTCAGCACACATGTCAGACGGAGAGCACCCCCATCCTGCCTGTCTCTGACTTCACCCAGGCTTCTGCCAGCTTCTAAGGCTGACTGCCTTCTTTACAGCCATGGGGTCTTTCAAGGGAAGGACTCAGATCAGACCCAGATCTGAGCTTCTGCTGCTGAGCTACCCCCAGCTCTCCCCACTTTCTGAGACAGGATCGAGCTAAGGTTTCTGGTCTGACCTTAAACTTGTGATCCTCCTGTCTCAGCCACCTGATTACGGAAGTGTGCCAGCATCCTTGCCAGAGTGTCCCTCAAACAGAGGTTGCCCAGAGGAACATCCTAGAAGATTTCCCTCAAGACCACTGGCTTTTGAGGTTGAGTTCATCTTTGGTTAGCAGAAGTTCTAGGAGGGAGTCTAGAATCAGAAAGGAGAGAGGACAGATCCTGGCACAGAGCAACCCAGCCCAGAGGCTCATATCTATGAGGTGACCACAAAGTGTGAATGCACGAGTGCTCACTGGCATGTAATCTAGAATTTCGTGATCAGGGATTTAGGGGAAAAGTTCACTATGGTCCAAGTACCTAGGGAAATACTGTACAGCCTCTAAAGTGATGTCGCAGACACACTGTTGCCATAAGCACCTTGCCCACCAGACAAGGAAACAGAGTTAGGTTCAGCTGTTTAAGTAGCACAGTGCCATTGCTGCAAAACTCCGCGTGCGTGTACACACTTGTCAATATGCTTCTACACATTCGTGTTTATAAGTGTGGCTAGAAGTGCTTTCCCGGGTAGCCTGCACCTTCTCAGGCTCCTTTGCTTGGTCCCCTATCTCTCTGAGGCTTTGGGGCTCAGCATAGGCCTAACCTCGTTCCTGTCTGGCTTATTCTCCTGAAGGAGTGTCACACTGCTGTCCCTCGATCTGTACTCTGTGTCCATGGCTGGCCTGTCCCTAGCTTTCAGACCCTCTATCCAGCCTCCTGCTGACATCTCCACTGCAGAATCTAGGTGAACCACAAACTCAGCCCAGTGCCAGGTTCCTGGCCACTGCTGACCTCCACCTTGGTCCTTCGTGAGTTTCCCTGATCCAGGAAAAGACAGCTCCATTTTCCAGTTGCTCAGGCCCAATCTGTGGGCTCCTTCCTTTCTCTCCCACCCTGCGTCCATCTTGGTTCCAGCTGCAGAGCATTTCTAGAGCCCTGCTGCTTCTCACTCCTGTGCTTCCACCTCCCTGGGTCTCACAGTCCCTGCCTGTCATGCCTCAGCCCGGGCCCCATGGTTGCAGTCTCAGCATAGCAGCTTCAGTGACCCACACTCCATAGCTTTTGTTCTTGCTCCAGACAGGAGCCTGCGGGACCCCAGGGCCAGCAAGACTCTGCTCTGCCTGGCCTCTGCTGACTGCTCTCTGTCCGCTTACATGCCCGAGGTGCACACCTGCCTTCAGGCCTTTACACTGCTGTTCTTTCCGCCTAGAACATGCTTGGCCCAGATGAGCCACCACCCTTCAGGTCTTCACTCAGGGGTCACCTGCAGCTCTCTGCTGATTGGATCCGACCTCTTCTCTCTCCTCCCTAGAATTCCTCCCTCGCCTTCTGTGTCCCACAGTGCTTGGACTGCCGAGGGCACTCCAGATGCTCTGTTCATCATCTGTCTCCCTGGTGGAAGAAGGCTCCGTGGGGCGGGTACTCTCTTGATGCCTGCTGTGGCCCCAGCACCATCCTAGCACCTGGTGCATCTCTCAGCAGCCCCACTCCGTAGCTTCTGTTGGCCACCTCTGCCTGCCTCTCCTGTGGCTCCTCCAGTGTCTGGCGGGCACCAGCTCCAGGAGCAGCCTCAGGTAAACACTCCTACAACCTCACCCTTCAGGTGAGATGTCTTACACTATTTTGGGCCTATTTATACTACTGCAGTAGTGTTTTACACTTGTTGTCCAGCTTTCCCTGTGAGTGGAGCACGTGTGTCTGCAGAAGCAGCCCACTGATCATCAGTGAGCCTGCCCCTCCCCTTCCCCCATCCTCAGTCCTGTTCGTTGTATCCCACAGGTGAATTTCTCGGTTTCTGGGAGTCTTTACCCCAAGGTCAGCTTCTGGGTGGGCACATTAACACTGCATTCTGATTTATTTCGGAAATGCTGTATGAATGACTGCATATTGCAGGCAGATTACTAGAAGTGCTCCAAAATAATGTATCTGGTCCCTCTGAAAGATGCGATGTCGGGACTCAAACAACCTGTCTATACTGGTGCTTTTGCAGTTAACAAATAAAGCTCTTCCCCTCTCCCCACCCCACACTCAAGTAACCCGCATCAGGCAGTAACCCAGGAATGGGACAGACCTGTCTTCCACAGTAATGTGGGGCAAACCTAAGACAGTGAGGGAAGCTTTTGGAAAACGCTCTGAGGCCGACAACAGTGGAAAAGAGTGGTCAGAGGATTCCCCTGTCAAGGGACTGTGTACCTCTGCCTCAGGGAAGTGCGGGTTCATTCCTGGGTTACGATGCAAGGAAGGCAGTGATGTCTGCAGACCACACTTGGTGCCATCAGATGAGCACCCAGCGCTCCTCACCCCCACGCTTTGTCATTTCACTTCAGATGGAGGTCAGGGCACAGGCCGGGGCAGGAAGTGCATGCTGTGATCAGGAACCCAGGGACTGGTGCCAAGGATGGAACCCAAGAAAACGGGATTTTCTTTTGGTAAAAGCATCTCCACTTCCTTATTAATGAGTTTTCTCTTCCACAAGTGACTTCCGCAGTAAGTGCCCCAAAGAAACACCTTGTTTTAAATGGTGACACAATTCCATTTGCAGCCATCTGAAAGTGTATTTAACCAGATCCCTACTGAAAAGCATTTTATTGGCTCCTAGTTTGTTGCTATTGCAAACAATTCTGCAGGAAACATCCCTGTGCATTTTTCTTTTCTGGGCGTACATTTGTGAACATGCTTGTGTGGTTCATGAACCTGCCAGGAGGAGGAGCATGAACGAGTTAAAAGCAGAATAGCCATTGACAGAGTGACCCACTGCAAGGACTAGCCTGGTGGACGCACCTATCAGTGATTGATGAGTCTGCCACAGCTTCATCTTTATGGTGTTAGCAGTATTTCCATCTCTGTCTCACTGGGGGAGCTGATCTCAGGTTTCCCTTGCACTTGTTTATTATAAGCAGTATTGGGCTTCTGCTCATGCTGCGTGAGCCATTAGACAAGGTTCTGCTCATGCTGCATGAGCCATTAGACAAGGTTCTGCCCTGGACAGTAGCCATTGCTGCTGGCCAGAGCTGAGGTCATAGAACCCAAACCAATCATGTACTAGCAATGACATCAGCCGCAGACTCAGCCTCTGAGGTCCGGTTAATACACAGTTGGAATAAACATCCTGAAGAACTGGCAGCCAACCTGGGCTACATAGTGAGTTCAAGGCCACCCTCAACCATAGAAGGAGACCGTCTCAAAAAACAAACAAAAAGAGAATTCTTTACCACTTCAAGCACTCAGTTGTGAGCCTGCTCAGACATTAATACATTAAGGCTTTTTAAAACCACCATATCATCAACTCAGCCCTGTCCAGATCTCAGATGTCATTTGGCACTGGCCCAAGAACACTGTCTCCAAGCAGATAAATATGAAAAGCTAAGGATGTTTTTAACTAATTAAGTGGAAGAGAGCTTTGGTAATGGTCCTGGTCTCAGTGCAGCTTCCACTTGATCCAGCACAGCCTAATTATCCTAACAGGCTGAGCCTCTCCTTTACATGTTGAATGGGTTTGGCACAGTTAATTGGGACACCTATTTTGATCACCTCAGCTGGAAATTGCTCCCTCTGAGAGGTGGGAGGACAGAGCGTGCTTCCCTTTCCAGCTCTGCTCCAGCAGAGCCGCAGTGGTGCTGCCTCGGCTCTGATGTGCAGCACGGGCAGTTTGTGTCAAGCACCACTTTTGCACTGCACTGAAATTTGTGGCTGATTAGTTAATTCCAATATAAATTGGCACTAGCATTGTATCCCAAGGTGTTTGCTTGGGTTCCTTTCTTCCTGTATATCATTTCTTTTTTCAAAGCGGGAAGCTTTCCTCACCTCAGCACAGTTTGATTTGGAGGCTGAGTTTGAAGTTTTTGTGCAGACAACCCCGCAAGTATTTTCTGGGAGCCTGGACCTTGGGAAGGGACTGGAGACTGGTGGGCCAGAGGACGTAGGCTCCCACTCAAGGCAAGCAGAACCGTGCCACAGTTAGAGTGGTTCCAGACATGTCACAAGGTCATTCCTACTCATTGCATCCCAGGATACTCTCCTGAGGGGGACGGGAAGGAGTGAGGTCACATTGTTTTGACAGACATTGCTCACGACCCTACTAAGGAGTATACTGGTGACAGAAGCCACCTGTCCTGCATCGAGGCGGAGGATGAGGAGAAATGTGTCTTCACATGTTGTCAGACGTCCTCAGTGGGTCCACCTTTTTCTGACCTGAAACCACTGCCCTTGTGCACTGACTAGCCAGTAAGGTGGCCCATGGATATATCCTGTGACTCTGGGCTGTGTGAGAACAGTGGATCTGGCGAATGAGCATACCTCACCCTCAGAAAATCCCGAATGCTGAGTAACAGCTCAGAGCATGCAGGAGCTTGAGGCTACCGCCTGACAGCAGCTGCCCTCCCAGTGCCCTCAGCCAAGCCCGAGTTCTCTGTCCGGGCTTGCCTTGGCGTGGTGGAGGGTGGCAAATGGAAACCCAGCCTGGGGTTGACAGCTGCCTGGGGAATGCTGTTCTCAGCACTCTGCCAGCCCAGGGAATTGGCACAAGCTGGTTCCCTACCCTACAGGTGGAGAGGCCAGCCCCTCTTGGCCCGTTGCTGTAGATCCAGGAACTAGGAGAAGGAGGCT